CGTGAAGAAAGGCGACGGCGCGCTGTCAGGCGCCGCAGGGTCCAGGTGACGCCGTGACGGGTAAGACGTCGAGGCTGGGTCACGTAATGCTATGTAGGACGGAGGCACAGCGCGCGCAGCATGGCGCGCTTGACGGGCATGCATGGCTCTCGGTGCAAAGTGCAGGCAGAGTTTGATGGCGACACTGGGCGTGTGTGAAGTAACTTTTTCGACAATGACGTAGGCCTGACCACGGGCCCGCAGCGGAGGGGGGCAGGCGCTGCATGCGGGCAGCTGCTGCGAGGCATGTAGTATGTAGCGGTAGTAGTGGTAGACCAAGCAGAGTAGGGCCGCGGCTTGGCCGAGTGGACAGGAAAATCCGGAAATGCAGCGCCGCAGCGGGCGTGTCGGCGTGCTCGATAGGAGAGATATGGCGGGCTGGGGGGGGGGGGTGGGGCCAAGGCGTGGGTGTAGGAGAGGGTGTAGGAGAGGGTGTGGTGTGGGTGCCGCCCTATCCCAGCATGTCATATCAGATGGGCAGCGTGCAAAAGTCATGATGCGAACAGGTCAAGTGGTGGGCCATGGTGTATTGGAGCCGCATCAGCTGAAGGCCGCACTTGGCTGAAACCGTGTGCGCCGTGGGCGTGGAGCAGCGCTGTTTGGGCGGCCGTGACTGGCGGCGTGATGGGCGTCGTGGTGGTGGTGGTGGCTGCAGGCACCGAACGAAGGTTCACGCAGACAGCCTCGTCATGCTCGCGCGGCCATGAGGGGGGACGCGTAGGGCGCGACGCGAATCAGTCAGCGTGCCAGAAAAAGGACAGGCTCGGGGCGACGAGGGTGTGGTGCAGGACCGAAGCAGCCAAGTGTGCTGAGGCTGAGTGCTGGAGCCGTCAGTGGCATGCTGAGCAGAGCGCTGCTGCGTGTGCCATGAGGCATGCGTGGTGATGTCTTGGTGGGCAGCGCCGTGGTGAGTCTTCGGTCCGTGGCGGGGGCCCACTGCATCGAGTCGTCTCGGGCGCCGGACGCAGGCAGCATCAGCACAGCAGGTATACAAGCAATGTAATGTAGCAATTCGCACGATCGCGGCGGGCAGTGTAGCGTGCTGGCGGGGCGGCGTTTGGGGGCAGGGCGAGGGGGGGAGACATGGCGATCGGCAGCGGTGCAGCAACGGCGGCCGTGTGTGGTGTTGTCGGCAACATCCAGTGGCCAATGCGCGCGTGCAGGCTGCAGGTCATCCCTCACGGCCAACCCTCTCATGTGCCCGTCAGCCATTGTCCACGCCGCACTAAGCTTCTCACCCACACCCGCGCTAATGCACCGCCCAGGCATATGCAGCTGCACATGCAGGGCAGGCCTCGTCGTGCGCCCGCCCGCCCACGCCCTGTCCAGCATAAGTACGCGCGCGAATCCTCCAGAACAATGGCTTCACCATCCGGCTCGCTCGCCGCCCACGCACCAGGGCTCGTACTAATACACACCCACTGCTGCTTGTTGCCTCGCCTATCCACGCCATCTACCCCGCCATCGCCATCGCCACTACTTGAGCCCTCGTCCCCCACGAGCGCTCGCTGCAGCAAACCTTCTCCTCCCCACCACGACCGGCCAGGAGCCGGGGGGACACGATTCTCCGCCACGCCGCCTGCGTCCAGGTCGAGAAAAGCTCAAAGACACCACTGCCCGTCCGCCTCTCCTGCCTGCTCCGCGCCATCAAGGGCCTCCTGTCAGCCATGCCTTCCTATCTCCGCACCAGCCCCCGCGCCTACTCGTTCCCCCCCTGGGTCGACAGCGCCGACCACGACGACGCGCAGTCGGCCCATCTGCCCGACATCGACGAGGATCCCTTTGCCCACTTCATCACGCCCATTGGCGACGCCGAAGACCCCTATGAGCTCTCGCTGAGCGCCGGCATCGACGCCAACGACGGCCCGCGCACCGCAAAGACGACCAAGTTCAGGTCCAACGTGGCCGGCCGCTGGGCCCGCTACGTCAAGCAGAGCCAGCCCCAGCTGCACGGCGCATATCACGTGCCGACCATCTACGAGGAGGACGACGAGTCCTTCATGGGCCTGGATGACGAGCGGTTGAACGACACGCCCCAGGTTGTGTCTCACCTGAGCCCACCCCGCATCAGCATCGCCGAGCCAGGCCGTGGCCGCACCCAGCATCTGGCCACTCGCAAGCAGCAAAATCGCCGCCGCTACTCGCGCACCCTGTCTGGCCATCGCCATTCGTGGCGCGAACCCAGCCCGGATCTGTTTACCGTAGACGAGTCGGAGGAGGACGAGGGCCCCGTGCTACGTCGTCCCAAAACCAGAAAAGCAAAGGATGGCGCCGAGCGCCGCAGGTCATCGACCAGGTCAAAGTCAAGAGCTAGAGTAGACTCTGTGACGGAAATTTCTAGATGAGACAGGATGGGCATGGCATAGAAAAGGCCAAGACATGAGGGCCGCACAGACATTGTGGGGGTGGTGTTGTCTTGTTGATTGTTTCTTACTAGCATTGCACGGTGTTGGTGGCTTTTTGTCTTTGTTTTTCTTTTTTTTTGCGCACAGCGCACACAGCATGAGCCGGCGTTTTTGGTATACCACGGGCTGTAGCCTTTTGGGCTCTTTGTTGCATTGGGCGGAGTTTTTGAGTTTTTGCATTTTCACCCACGTTCTTGGGCAGACTGCGCGGCGGCAGCACTGCATCTAATGTGGAGATAGCCATAATTCACAACCCATCTCAGACGTACACACTCTGCCCCTCGTTCCCCGCTTTGGGCCATGCTGGTTGTCTATCCGAATCTTCGATGCGCACCACAGCGCAAGATGGCACGTCACGGTCGAGGGCCTGTCTCGTCTCGTCACGCCACTGCTTGTCCAACCAATGTCGTTGCGGGCCATATGGTTTGTCGCGTATCATTCCCCCACCACACCACACACCCCCACTAGTGCTGCACGCTAAACAAGCGCGAGGTGCCGTGACCTCACGGCGCAGCCCTCCAATTCCGTCTCTATCTCTACCCCTCCAATTTGCAACCCCGAAAATTCCCCTCGTCGCGCGCTTACCGCCCATACAGCCCCGACGCTCGACCGTCTCGCAGAGTACTGTAGATGCATCCCACCTCCTGGATGCCTCGAGAAGACAGGCTGCGAGGGACCCTCGCCCACCCGCACCAATAGGCCATGCAGCTGCACAAGGCCTACCGCCCCGTGGTGATGGAAATTCCACTCTACATACATGTACATGTACATGTACATGTACTGTATGCTACGTACCGGCATAATACCAATCGCCACCGGCCAATCATGCCGCCGCCAGCATGAAAAAAAATCCGCGGAAAGATTATCGCGCGCGCATCCTTCCGCGACAAGATGGCAGAGATCCGCCCTCGACGTCGTACGCTTATCCGAGTACCCCATTGACCTGACTCTTGACCGGGACACCTGTCATGGCCATGCATACGAGACCCTGCGTCGTCCCTCTCGCGCCCGTCTGTGAGAGGCCAGCTATGCCCGTCGTGCCCAAACGGGTAATGCGTGATCACACGGCCGTGATAAGCGGGCCGGAGATCGGCACATCTATCTATCCACAGTACGTACTCTGGTCGAAACAAGACAAGGCCCGTGGCGTTAGCAGCGGGGTCCCCTGGGCTCCGATGGCGGAATCCTCGCCTTGTGTAGCAGAGGTGCGTCGTGGATGGGCTGTGTGACGAGTGAGGCTCGTTTGAGAAAAAAATTAAAAGGGCCGACTGTGTGGGGTGGGCCTAGTGGGGTGTAGTAAGAAACGCATGTACTGGGGACGCCTAGTTGCATGCACGCAGAACGTGGCTTAGAGGTGCAGTGAGGAGGACAGACTTTGTGTGTGCATGTGGTACAGAGGGGTGTGTGTGTAGAAAGTGTGAGTGTGAGTGCGAGTGTGGGAGAGACAGTGTGTGCGCCATGGTGTCCGGAAAGGATGGCATTACGCGCAGATAGTCGCTATGACCTGCGTAGCGCTGCAGCCGACTGCCCTATCGCACGACGCAGGGTAAAAAAAAAGGGAGCGGAATCTTGACCCCTCGGGCGTATCGCTTCAAGGCCCCACGGGATAGATCTACGTGTGGAAGAAGAGTGGCTTTCTAGATGCATTAGGCAAAGCCGCGATTCATCGGCTAAGCGCGGGCTACAGTAGGTGGAGAGCATGTTATTCTCGGACCAGGACGTCTGTTCTTCTGCGTATGACGAACGCACCATTCTGCACTCAATCGTGGGTTTACTTTTTGCTCGATGCATCGGCAGGCCCTATGGTATAGCGCTGCCAGCGTGTTGCATGCACGTTGTGGATATGGATATGGGCATGGGTGTGGCTAGGCTATAGGCGTGGTTGGTTGGTCGCTGGGAGTGGTCATGTTGTCGGTCCCAGCACGGCGGGAAGCATTGTGATTGGCTGCGTACTTTGCTTGTTCCAATGACGTCGATGCGTCCCCCAGACACTCGCACTCGCACTCACACTCACTCCCATTCTCTCCCTCTGCCCTTCTGCCTGTATACCCAATCCCCACCACCTTTTTCCGCATTGCTACCACCACCGCCGTTATTCTTAACGCCCAATATGCCGCGCCTAGACGACAGCACCCATCAGATCCTGCAGGACGCCGAGCAAGGCATCCGCCGCCGCACCGTCGACGCGTGGGACAGCTTCAGCAACTTTGCCCTACGCGACAATGTGCTCGAGGTAGCCGTTGGCTTGATGTAGGCTTGGCTCCCCTTCCCTTTTGGACCAGGATGTCAGAACCCAATGGCTATGGCTACCCCTCCCCCCACGCCACACACCCCCGCGTAACCTCCCCCGTCGAGGAATTTCACTACACAATACTAACACGGGGCGTTAACGCGCCGCCGTCGGCAGCCTAGCAGCCTCCTTCACCGCCTGTGCCAACGCCCTCGTAACCGACATCATCCTGCCAATCATCTCACTGCTCCCGTTTCTGGTGCGCAACCTCGACGCCAAATTTGCCGTGCTGCACCACGGCCCAAACTACAACGCCTCGATTGCAAACGGCTACAATACCCCGCAGCAGGCGCTCGACGACGGCGCCGTCGTGCTGGCCTACGGCGACTTTCTCGACAAGATTGTGCGCTTTATGGTTGTGGCGCTGGCGCTTTGGATCATTGCCCTCGCCTACAGCAGGGGCAGTGGCGATAATATTGTGAAGAGGCAGGTCAAGTGTAGGTTTTGTCGCAAGTATATTAGTGAGAAGGCCAAGAGATGCGTTAATTGTACTAGCTGGACGGATGGCAGAGAGGACCGCGCCATTGATGGATAACAAGATGAGCAAGAAATGAGGATTGTCACTGTAATCTGTCCTTGTCTTGTTCATCTTGGCCTTCCTTGTCATCACGGTATCAAAGGGATTTCTTCCCCTCTTTGACTCCGGAATCGCCCGCTCCGGCATGACGATGGTAATGATGATGATGCGTGTGCAACGTCTCTCCCCCCTCCTCCCCCCCGTCTCATTCTGCCTCCGCAATCGCAACTCTCTGACGTGATGCACCGGATCCACGGCTTTGCCCGCTCCAAGCTTGTACGCATGTAGTCGGTGTGAGAAGGGAAGAAAAAAAACCCCTCCCCGGACAAGGGACCATGTCCAGTTTGTGATCATGGGATGTCCTCGCTGGACCCTGGGACCTTGTCATGGGATCCCAAGATAAAAGGACCCTGAAGCAACATACATACATACATACATGTACAAACCCCATGTGGAAATGAGCTGAGGTGTTTAGTTCCGCTAGCACTACATAGCAACCTAGCGGGCACGTGGTGAAAGCGAGAAATTGGAAACACACCCCCTTCATGTACACATGTACGTATGCGGTAAAAGAAGAACGGGCGGGCTGATGCGGGACACGTTTTTTTTTCGTTTTTTGTTTTTTCGTTTTCCTTGCACAGAGTCGGACTGTGATTTGACGATTGAGAGGGGGGGGGGGATTGCTTGCTTGCTTGCAACTACAACTAAAATCATAACCAGGTTCAGGGCTGTATGTGTGTGTCTGTGTGTGTGTCTGTGTCTGTGTATCCCAGCCGTCAGCCACAGAATGGCGATCGCAATAACTCCCCGAGGGGTGGAAGATGAAGTATGAACCGTGAAGTGTGAAGATGAAGGACCCTTTTTTTCTTGTATTTGTTCTTATTTAATTTTCTGGGGCACTTACTTACAGTACTTGGCAAGAACTACTTACTACCAACCTTGACTCGTAGCATACAACGACGACAACGACGACGACGACGACAAGGAGAGAAAATTAACATACAAGCAAGCAAACTAACTGATAGGCAGACTGATAGGCTCATGAACAAGTCTCAAGGAAGTCTGCCACAAACCGCGCCACTTCACCCGGCTGCTCGACCATAGGCAGGTGACCAGCATTCTGCACGACCTTGAGCTCGACACCGTCTTTGCCCAACTTCTCCGCCATATTCTCCTTCATGGTTTTTGGCAAGACGCCATCCTGGGCGCCAACGAGAAACGCGGCTTTACCGGCGAACTCGGGCATTTTGTCTCTGATGTCGTAGTGATGCAGGGCCTTGACTGAGTCGCGGAAGCCCGGCAGCGAGTTTGTCGTTACGCTGAGTTTGACGGCGGCGATCTTGTGCGCTAGCGCGGCGTCGGCGTACGACGACGCGGCGAACCAGCGGCGTACTGTGGCTTCTGCGAGTTGAGTGCCGACGAGGGCTTCACCGGTCGTGGGGGACATGTGGTTTTCTTGCTCGGCCATGGAGACGCGCTCGTTCCATGCTGTGGCGTTGCTGGCGGGCGCAAATGCGTTGGTGTCGCACGCTACAAAGGCCGTGATGCGCGACGGGTGCGAGAGACCTGCGTTGAGTGCCGTTGCGCCGCCCAGCGACACGCCGACGGCCGAGGCGGTTTTGACGCGCAGCGCATCCAGCAGTGTGATGACGTCGTGCGTGAGCGTGTGCACTGTGATGGGCGAGTGCGAGTCTGCGGGTAACGCGTTGCGGCCTCGAGAATTGTACCGCAGCACCCGGTACTTGGTGGCTGTGAGTTTGAGGAATTCGCTGACAAAGTCGTCCCAGATGCTGTAGTCGACGAGGATGCTGTTGATGAGGACTAGCAGAGGCGCATTGGCGTCGCTGGAGCCTTCGAGTCGGTACGGCAGCTTGACGCCGTCGGCCGTCGTGACGAAGCTTTCAATCACAGGCCGCTGCTCCGGTGTCGTATGTGCTGGATGCGTCTTCACCAGGCCCTCTGTGTTCTCAGCCGGCACAGCGTCTTTGCTCGCGAGGCTCTGGAGGTCGCGTTGAGCGGCGCCAAACGTGTAGTAGAGACTGTACACCCTCCTCTTCCTGTCGCGAACCACATCTTTGTATATCTTGTCGCACCAGGCGGTTGTAGTGGCCGCCTTGAACTCCGGGCCCCCAAGCCCGTTCTGCGGCGCATACTCGTGCAGCGCGAGGAACTCCCTCTCGGTCCTGTGGCCGCTCTCGACATCCAGATACGACGTGACGAAGCGGCGGGTGCGGCGCCATCCAGGCACTTTTTGCAGCAGCGGTACATGCTCTTCTTCGTACCACTTGCGCAGCTCTTCCTCTTTGCCCGCGCCGTCTTGCAGCGAGAAACTCACGGCAATCATGACGTTCGGCTCGCCTTCGTGCTCCACCTTTTGCAGGTCCTTGAAGTCGCTGCCCGTCCACTCGCGCAGCAAGTCGTACGACCGCCGGTCCACGAAGATCTGCTTCATAGTATCGCGTTCGCGCTGCGACTGCACCGGCGCACTGCGCAGTCTCATGTACGGTTCGCGCGTCAGCCATTCGAGCTCGTCAAAGTCGTAAATGGCCATCCACTCGGGCTTGTCTTTGGACCCGCCGCCCGTCGCATCTTCGAGGTCGCTCGCCCGGTACCGGAATCCGTTTTTGCAAAAGGACAGCCGAAGCCGATTGGGGCCGTGTTCGTTCTGGTACCTTGATTGTCGGGGTAACAAGGTTAGATGGGATCGTGATGAGGATAGGATACGGCTATTTCCTCTCCCCCCCCCTCTCCCCTTCCTAAGGAGAGAAGAGGGCAAGGTACAGAACATTAACTTACCAATCGTGGAATTGAGCTTCTGGCAGCCCCTCTTTGGGCTGCATTGTCACGTACAGAATTCCCGGTGTTGCTTTGGATGCCATCTTGTTTCGACGGAATGTGGGGTAGATGTAAGCTGTATACTTGAGATACGGAGTCTATCGCGATTCTATGTGTTTAATTTTTATCGATGAGAAAAAGGGCGCAGTGGCACTAGTAGCAGGCCACGACAATGAAGACGACAAAAACGCGAGATGTCGGAAGACGAACAGGTAATTGAAAGTGTCCAAGTAAGTGTATAGCATTAAAGCGTTCAATTCCTCCCAACCAATTCCACTACCCGCCATCCAAAAGAAAAAAACGTCAGGGAACCCCCTCCCCCCCCCCTTTCCCCAAAGAGACAACATGCAATACAGCTTGCTAAATTCTTTCCCCCCCTCCGATACCATTTGCCGGCATCCGCTAAGACTCCAAGGTGGGGGTGTTGCGCAAACAAGAAAGAAAGGCTAATTTTGTTGCCCCCCCCCGCATCTACCGAGGTTCTGCTGAAGAACTTAGATCCGGGGGGGGGGCACATCATCAAATCGTCTCGTCTCACGCCCACACACATGTACATACATACACACTACACACATACATACATAGATATGCACAACGCACCAAGTACTAAAATAATACTAAACTTTACCAATGCCTAGCTCATAGTTGGCCAGCGAAGCTTCTCTCGGTGCCAACTCGGTGCTGAATACGCATGTATGTGGGAAGGACACGACTGTTATTCTGATTCAAGCTCATCATGCCATGCTTACTTAGTTGGTGTGATATATTTTTTCTTTTGCTGGGGTTATGGATGGATGGACGTATGTACACGTACGTGGGAGGTAGATGGATTATTTGCATGTGGTAGTTTGTCAGATCAGACTGTTACTTTGGTGGCATGTGTCAGATAGACAGTTGGTTGCGTATTCTGTGGCGATTGAGAAACCACGTTGAAAGAAGATGAAGAAACTAGAATAGTCATTTGCATGATGTACGAATAATGTAGAGATATTTTTTCTTCTACTCTATGAAGTTCTACTGGATTGTGATACATGCAGAATATGGATATCAACTAATCATACCATATCGCATTCATACCGAATCCCTTCTCACCAACCTCCAACCGCGCAACGCGAGCCAGAAACTCGTCGTGCCATCTGTATATCTCGACGCCGCCCTTTTCGTCGTCGGTCAGCGCGAGCCACTCGTCCGACCAGGGGCACGGCGACACGGCGTTGGAGTGGCCGCCCGACGTGGGCGTGGGGTTCAGACAGATCTGGCGCTCAATGGCGCCCGAGGGACCGATTTTAAACGCTGCAATGTAGCCCGTGAGTGAAAAGGAGTTTGAGCGCGATGTTGCGAACAGGTATTGTGCCGACTTCGTCAGGAAACACACGTCGGAGCGGTACATGGTGTCTGCGTTTGGAATGCCTGGGTGCGGGATTAGTAACTAGTGTTCAAGGAAGACATGAGAGGCCTACCGGGAGGTATCAAGGGATATGTCTTGTAAGTGTGAATCGGCAGCTTAGTCTGCGGATCAATCACGTACTCGCAGAGGCGGTTTCCCCCCTCCATCAGGGCGTACAGGTAGTTACCGGATGGATGCATTTCTACCCATCTGGGGTGGTCCTTTGGCGCGGGTGCTTCGGTGTAGCCGACTGTGTCCAGTCTGCCCTCGTCGTCAATCTTCTTGTGGCACCAAACTCGGTTTGCCCACATGTCTGCGCTGTAGAGGTAGGTTTCCGAGGGGTCAAAAACCATGCCGTGGATGGCCGTCTTGTCGCAGTACTCGTAGTTTTGGATGTTCTCCTTGATGTGCCCGGAGGCATCGACTGAGAAGATGTTGCCGTAGCCGGCGTGGTCGTAGAATGGATTGCAGTATACGGCATAAGGAGGCTTTTGGGCGGGCAAGAGAAAAATGGCGCGTGTTTTGGTGTCAGCGTCGTTTGCCCTGGCTGTGCAATTGGTCAGTGGAGAGATGGCATGGGTTCCAGAGTTGCATACGGTGTCCGCCCATGGGAAAGCTGCCTGTGTGTACAATCTCGCTGGGACTCTTTACGTGGTGGGAACTCCATTTCTTCATCGAGGCGCCATAGATGTTCTTCCGTTGATGCTGTGTTGTGGTATCAGTCACTGTCGGTGGCACCCAGGCTCGTAGGTTGCGCGCATACGTCAAAGGCCATCCAGCTTATCGGCTCGTCCTCTGGAATGTCCGTCTTCTTGACAAGCTCCAGCTTGAGCGTCTCATCGTCAAAGGAGACGGTGATGATGACCCCGGGCGGCGTCCACGTGCCGATCATGAGGTGGTGTTTGACCATGTTGAAGGTGTGGTATGTATTGTCTTCCAGCAGCCAATTTTCGTCGGCAGTCTGAACAGGAAGAGGTCGAGGCTCAGAATGGCTCGCACTGCCTGCCCGCGACCAGTCCAAATTCTGGCCGTCACGTCGCGTCCCCAGGCCCGTCGTGGCGTGTGCAGAGGGCGGGGCATTAGTGCTGACGGCACTAGGAAGAGGGCACTTGGGATAAAGGGCGGGTAAGCCTTCTTCCACCCCACCGCCACGCTGATTCGCCCGCCATGCGAAGCCGCCGCGGGTCAAGCCGTCACAACATGGGACATCCTTCGGCACTGTTATCCCTCACACTTGCGAGCCGGTGTGCCATGCCGTGGGCACTTCTGACAAGTTGCATCGCCTGATACGCGGCTAGAAAGATGGCCATTGCTAACCGCACGCCTTCGGTTGGGCGCAGCCGGCCAATCTTGCGATGCTATTTATTAAGCTCCCTCGTGCCCCAGAAAGGTCAAGCATCTGAGCAGCACAACACTACTCTCCTCACCGACCCTCTTGATACACTCGACTCCTTGATCGCATTCTTCGCACACTGCCAAAATGACACAGCAAGCCCAGGGAAATGGCAAGCACCGCTTCGACCCCAACTTCACCGACGCCGTCATCAACGCCATTGGGCCCAATGTGCCTGACCGGACGCGCTTTGTCATGAGCTCGCTCATCAGGCATCTCCATGACTTTATCCGTGAGGTCGAGTTGACCAACGACGAGTGGTTCGAGGGCGTGCGATTTGTCAACTCGATTGGCAAGACCACGACCAACACCAGGAACGAGGCGCACCGCATTTCCGACGTGCTCGGAGTTGAATCGTACGCATTCCAGCACCCAAGACAGCACATGGTCCTAACACATTTCTAGGCTGGTCGACGAGATCGCCCACATGCACGTCAACGAGTCTGGCGAGACACCCACCTCGTCGACAATTCTCGGCCCCTTCTGGTCGCCACACTCGCCCTTCCGCGACCTTGGCGACACCATTATCCGCAGCCCTCACCCCGATGGCCAGGTCACCCTTATGCACGGCAAGGTCGTTGACCTAAACACCAAGAAGGGCATCCCCGGCGCTGTCATCGACGTCTGGCAGGCGAGCGCCAACGGAAAGTACGACTTCCAGGACCCTGAGAACCAGGAGCCAAACAACCTGAGGGGAAAGTTCACCACAAACGAGAATGGCGAGTACTGGTTCTACTGCTACAAGCCTACCGCCTACTCGCTGCCCACCGATGGTATGTTGAAATACAAAGACACAAACATGGGCTTGACTAACCATCATAGGCGCTGCTGGCCAACTCTTCAAAGTTCTCGAACGCCACCCCTTCCGCCCCGCACACATCCACCTCATGGTCTCGGCAGAGAACTTCAAGCCTCTGATCACACAACTATACCCCCGCGACGACCAGTGGGTCACCAACGACACTGTGTTTGCGGTCAAGGATGACTTGCTTCTCGACTTTGAGCCCAGCAAGGACCCCAAGGCCAAGCTCGACCTGACATATAACGTCACTCTGGCCCCGACAGGCAAGAAGACGGCGAGATTGGACGGCATTCCCAGGCTGCCCAATGTCTTTGACGAGCAGAGCAGGCTGTAGATAGTTTTTTGTGTATTTGTATCTAGCGAAATTTTGGCAAAAGCCCATAGTGAATGACCAAGAATGAAATTCTTCTCAAACCAGGCAGGATGAAATGCAGTGTTGCCCAAACCAATCATATATTCCAGTACCATGTGTAGACAGCTCCGGACCGGAAAGCATATCCGTCAGAGCTCTAGCATCTGCCTCTTGCTATAAATCCCTCTCTAGTCTCTCATTTCGACCCCGATGCTCCTCTCTTCCCCTCAATCCCTCTTTTCACGGCCTCTGTCGCGTGCCCGTCTACCCACCCTCCACCCACGTACCCTCACTTCATCTGCCGTATTCAACATGCGCGTGCCATATGCCCCCAGCGAGCCTCCAAACGAAGAAGCGCGTCCCATTTACGAGCGCATCGCCGAGCGACGAAAGCCCCGCCCCCTCATCCCGCTCGATCTCGCGCTCCTGCACAACCCCGCCATTGCAGACGGCTGGAACTCTTTCATCGGCGCCATCCGCACCAAAACCAGCCTCCCAGACACATTCAAAGAGCTGGCAATCAGCCGGATAGCAGTTCTCAACCATGCAGTGCACGAATGGGATGTTCACGCGGCGCTCGCACGCAAAGCAGGCGTCTCCAAGGAGGTGTTGCAAGCGCTGCTCGACCTGCCCGTTACCAAGCACGGAATGGTGAAGAAAGAGGGCCTTGCTGGATTCAGCAGTCAAGAGTACGCAGTCATGGTGTACGCTGATCAGATGACGGTAGGAGTGCAGGTCGAGGACGAGGTTAGCGACATGGTGAAGCAGGCATTGGGGGATACCGCCATGGTTGTCGAGTTGACGGCCACAATCGCCGCATACAACGCCGTGAGCAGATTTCTGGTGGCGCTGGATGTTGGAGAGTGCAATGCGAGGGGCATGAAGAGTGTAGATGAATTGTAAATGGAGTGCATTTGTCAGTGACTTGCTCTTCTTTCCCTCTTTCTTTTTGGGACATGGCCCGTCGCCAAGGCGCGGAATGACGCTGCTGTTCCTTCCCCAGACGTGCATTCCGCAATGCGGAAGGTGCCTCGGCCCATCAGCCGTCGCCAGCCGACGATCCTCTGTTCAGCCATTATTACTTTTGCCTGTACTCTTCGATTTCCCTTCTCCCTCCTCCAGCACCCAAATACACAATGGCGTCCCTAGCCCCGCGACTCCTCACCAGGAGTATCCGCCAATCGCGCATTCGACCCGCCCTCATCACCACCTCTGCCCAGCGCTACGCATCTTCAAAGCACCCTACAAACTTCACGCCGCCCACCCAATCCGAGCTCGACGAACTCCGTGACTCGGTTCGCGAATTTGCCCGCCTTGAAATTCCAGAAGAAGTCGCTGCAAAGACGGACCGCGAAAATGCCTTTCCCAACGACATGTGGCAGAAGTTTGGCGAAGCAGGCTTCCTTGGTATCACAGCCGACGAGGAGTTTGGCGGCCTGGGCATGGGATACCAAGCACACTGTGTTGTCATGGAGGAGCTTTCACGAGCCAGCGGAAGCATTGGACTGAGTTATGCAGCGCACAGCCAGCTGTGTGTGAACCAGTTGGCGCTGAACGCAAACGCGGAGCAGAAAAAGAAATACTTGCCTGGCCTGATTAGTGGCGAGCAGATTGGAGGCCTGGCCATGAGTGAGCATAGTGCAGGAAGCGATGTTGTTAGTATGAAGATGACGGCGAAAGAGGTGGATGGCGGGTACCTGCTCAATGGTACCAAGATGTGGATTACCAACGTACGTCGATTCTTCAGTTCGCATTAAGAAGTTACTAACAGGCTGGATAGGGACCCGATGCGCACACAATCGTCGTCTACGCCAAAACCGTACCCGACGCCGGTAGCAAAGGTATCACGGCCTTCATTGTCGAGACCTCGGCCAAGGGCTTCAGTGTAGCCAACAAGCTCGACAAGCTAGGCATGCGAGGCTCCAACACGGGCGAACTCGTCTTCGAGAACGTCTTTGTCCCCAAGGAAAACATGCTTGGTGAGGTCAACCGCGGTGTGCGTGTGCTCATGGAGGGCCTGGATCTCGAGCGACTTGTTCTTTCAGCCGGTCCCTTGGGCCTCATGCAAGCCTCGCTCGACAACGTCCTGCCATACACCCATCAAAGAAAGCAGTTTGGTCAGCCCATTGCGCACAACCAGCTTATCCAAGGAAAGCTAGCAGACATGTACACCAAATTCAGGGCCTCGCAATCCTTTACCTACAGCGTTGCGCGCGCCGTAGACGAGTCGCACGCGAGCCCAAATATTAAAACTCAGGATTGCGCAGGCGCGATTCTGTATGCGGCAGAGAGGGCCAGCGAAGTCGCAGCTGACGCCATCCAATTAATGGGCGGCATGGGATATATGAACGAGGTGCCTGTGGGAAGGATACTACGAGATGCAAAGCTCTATGAGATTGGTGCTGGAACCAGTGAGGTGAGGAGAATGGTCATTGGTCGCGCCTTTAACAAGGAGTGGAAGCAGGAGATATAAAGACGATGGAGAAATGAAATAGTTGAGCACCTGTTGTGTATTTTCTATTTGTTTTATGAGTGACTTTGACGTGCTGACGCAGTGCCTTTCACAATGCTGTAGAGTATACAATGAAAGACGGTGGTGAGCTGCCATGTTCTGTACCTGACACACTTCAACTTTGTCGATGCATTTGTTTTAGATGTGATACCCATCTTCGATTCGCGAAAAAAAAGAACAGAAAATCGTACGTTGCACACAATAAGCAGGCAGTGATATACATTAGTGTATTTTCTATTCCATGTAAAGCCTACCACGTTCTCATGTCTAGGGGGTATCATCTAGCAGTAAACCTGTTCCTCCTCTACTCTTTGCCAAATCACCACATCAAATAATCCGCTCATACCCCGAGAAATCATGGAGAAATCGCACATCTCCCCAGTCCGAAAGCCCCATTCTCAGACCAGCTTCGACCCATCGTATCCCTCCTCATCAGGCCGCACCTCATACGCCGGCTTGTCCTCGGGCTTCAACGACTGCGGATCGATATACCTGCACGTGAGCGCAAACCGCAGACTGCCCGCGACTATGCAGCCCGAGTTCTTTGGGGATCTGTTTCCGACGCGCGTTGTACGCCTTTGTATCGGTGGCCCGGAGGGCTTCGAGCTCCGGCTGAAGCGCAGCGCGGGCATCGTATTGCTCGCAGCCCGGCACGGGAGCCACGTCGTCGTACACACCGGCGACGCTCGACATGCCGTGGTAGCGGCGCGCCTTCATGCGGATGCGCATGGTGCCCGGGGCACCGAGGCTCAGCGTCGCAGTGGTAGGACCGAGTCCAAACTCGCCGTCGTCGTGGTAATTGATCTTCTGTTCTTGGAAGTAGCCCAGCGCGAGGACTTCGTTGAACTGCGTGGCTGCGTTCCATGCTTGCTGCGGCGACGTCGTGCCAGACTCCCGCGATAACAGGTACTGTGCGGCCCAGTTGAGGCGGCTGCGCGTATGGGTAATTGGGCGGGCGGCGCCGTCAAATGAGTGCGATTGCGTGGCTGCTACGAATTTGTACGGCATCCCGTAGTTGACGAGGAACTGGCGGCAGTAATTGGGGCCTTTGAGCTGCCCAGTTGGTAGTGGCCGTCGCTGCAGTCCAATGTCGGTTTGCTGTAGTTCTTCGAACATGGTGTCGGGCCCGCCGTGTTCCTCGAGGACCCTCTTGTTGGCTACCATGTGCGTGATGAAGCCGTCGATGCCCGGTAGCGTGTACCGGTTGATGCGGTATCCGTGCTCGAAGTGGACGCTGAAGCCGACTAGTGGTGAGAGTGTGTCGCGGGAGAGTGTGTAGCTGTCTGTCACGGGCCAGAGCGGGTCGCGCAAAGCGAGTGCGGAGATGAGTGCATGTGGTGGTGAGCGTATGTAGTCGCAGGTGGGATTCGGGCATTCCCACTTTGTCCAGTTGAGGCGGGAGATGCAGCGACCGCAGTCGGGGCACACGATGCCGGACCAGAAGGCGACTGACGTGTCCTCGCCGGGGAGGGGGTGCGTCGAGAGCTCGGCTGTGTTGGATACAAGCGGGTACTCTTGATCGTCGTTCTCCCATACAGTCTTCTGCTTGAGGAAGCGCGGATCGTACAGGAGAGTGGTCTCGTCGGGCTCTTGCAGAGCACTGCGGCGTCCACGACCAGATGCTGGGACGGCCATCTTCCAGAAAGAGCGGCAGTTTGGCTGCAGACACATCCATCCGTTGAGGTAGATTTGCTGAGAGTCTACGCCGCAACTGCCACACGTCTTCTCGACGGGCTTTGGCAGCAATCCCAGCTCAATGGCTTTCGTACCGTCTCTTGCCTGCCACCAAGACTCCTTCTTTGAGTTGAGCTTCTCGAATCGATACCGGAACATGACACTGCTGCCGCTCTTCTCCGCCCATATATGCGTAGGCTTGAAGTAATCGAGCACGCAATACTGGTGAGGTGGCTTGGACGGGATATGCGGGTTATCGATTCCCGTGATGACGACGACCGGGTTGCGGTAAAGCATGCAGTTCTTCAGGCCCAGCGCCACCGAATCTTCCACCTGGTCTCGGCTGGCCTTCATCGCTCCAGACTCTTTGTCCTTGGTAAGCCCACCGACAGCCCGGGAGATGACGACGTTACTGTCAATGTAGTCTCGCTCGTGAGCCACCTTGTCGAACATGAATCCCCGGACAAAACCACCGGTAGCGTAGCAGGCACCTTGGTAGCTTCGGTAGAAGTGCAGTGTTTCGCAAAGTTCTTGACGTCCCTCGGCCCAAACTTCTGGCTGTGCCATTGGCATCGGCTTGTCAACCCCGATATTCCGCTGGGCATGGAGCTGCTTGGATATGGCGTGTAGCTGTTGATCATCCAGCAAGCAGAGTGAACCATCCATGAACGGGCGCGTTGTATCATCACACTCTATCGTCGCTTCCGAGTCCGTGTAAGTGGCAGCAGGTTGTGTAAAAAAACCATGACCTGATGGGTTGACTCGTTTGGTGATGTTTTGAGACACTAGCCAGTCCTCGAGATGAGTGAAATCAGAGGGTGACTGGCCAACAGCTGTTGTTGCTGCACCACACTCTTGTGTATCATGGCTGAGGCTATCGCCATTTTCGTTCAGAGGCTGACCATGGCCCAGGAGAAATGTTGCTTGCCCCCCATGAGGCTCGTCTGCTGGAAGATGCTCTTGAAGCTCTCCATCTGACACAGGCCCAATAGAGGCTCCATGGCTAACCGCTGTGTTGGGAGTAGGGAATAGGGAAACGCTCTGGAAATGCTGCAAAGGTGGTGTTTGGGATGCATGACCTTCGTTTGGCGAGCCAAAATTCGAGATATCCAGGAGACCACTTAGGGGCGTCCGATTGTAGGCATCGCTCTGCGGAACGTTGGTTCTCATTACATCCTGGCTAGGTACTGATGCTGACGGCGATACCTTGAGGGCGACAATCTTGGACTTCTTGGGAGATTGCGATGCGCCATCTTCATGCTGATTCAGCTGACTGTCCGGTGATAGCTCAACTTTGGACTGGACCGATGTTCGACGTGCAATCTTGGTAGTTCTCGAGGACTTGCCGGCTCGTGATGGTTTTCTCAATGTCGTTTTTCTCTTGGTTGCAGGCTGCACCTCGTCACATAGCCTTTGTGGTGGTTTCCGCTGACGAGTGGGGCGGTGGGAAGAGAGAGTTTCATAGTTGCCTAGAACCTGGTGCGGCTCAGTCTCCGCTGTTTCACTAACGGACTTGCGCGATTGAGCTGGTCTGTCATCTGTCCAATTGGATTCGTCTTCTCTCTTGCGCTTCGACGGCGCCATTCTCGTACCGGTAAAAACGTGAGTCAGGAATTTTTCACAATGTACCAGACGGTGGTTGTAGTACAACGATCGTTCAAGCTTGACTTGAACTCTCGGGGAAGTGGTCGTGGTGTAGATTGAAAGAGGGGTGGAGGTTGTGCAATTGGGAAGAGTATCAGACTTGAATTTATTGTAGGGGGGTTGATGAGAGAGAACCTGTCCATGGCTTTTGCGTGAAACGGCCGCGTGGGAGCCTGCTGAGAGCCTTCACTATGTGAAATTGAACAATGCTGGTGGCGGTGAAAGTGAAGACAGCGTCAGGTGACGCCGTTGGTGCTCCATAGCACTTGCCTCCATGGTGGGACGCCCGCAGCAACATCGTTCACACTCGCAAACTACTACCATGCATTCACACCCTGGGCTTTGGCGGCCACGCAACACAGCTGTTTTTATTCCATTATTACGATGTGAAAGGAGTATTAAGGTTTGCCGACATCAGCCGTTTTCGTCTCGCTGCCGCGGAGCTAACGTCGGCGATGAGACGGTATTAACCCTTCTTGGATATGACCTCGGTATACCCCAGTTTCTCCACAATTGGAGGCTGGTGCTGACTTCCGACAACGAATCTAGACAGCATGTCGGCGTACTAACGTCATTGCGCAAGTCAAGGCTCGGGGTTTAAAACCTCGAGCTGCGGTGGATTTTTTGTTCCTTCATGCCCCTCCGATTGCGGCCCAGCAACAGGTGAGTTTTCCCGAGTCCTACAAGGCTGTCGCATAGCTAACGTGTCTGTAGGTAACTACTCAAGATGCCCTTCCATCCTCCATCATGGGTGCCGAAGCTCCCGTTCGACCCCCCGGACTCGATCCCCATCTGCGACTTCATGCTGGATGAGCTCTACGGCCGCCATCCACTTGGCTATTCGTTCGACCCCTTCACTTGCGGCCTGACGGGCAAGACATACTCGAGCCTCGAGGTGCGCGAGCGCGTCGACTACCTTGCACGGGGCCTGGCAAAGGAGCTTGGGTTTCAGCCAGGCAGCGGATCCGAATGGGACAAGGTCATTGCTGTTTTCTCAGTAAACACTGTGCGTATTTTACGCTTTGCGCACCCGCCGTGGTATTGACACTCGACAGATTGACACAATCCCGTTGGCATGGGCCACGCATCGCCTAGGCGGCATTCAGACACCCGCCAATGCTGCTTACAGCGCCGCCGAGCTTGAGTACCAGTTGAAAAACTCGGGCGCAAAAGCCCTCTTCACCTGCGTCCCCCTGTTGGAGATTGCTCAAGAAGCGGCAAAGAAGACTGGAATCCCCGAGAACCGTATATACATACTCGAAGTACCAGGCGCGAGCACGCCCAAAGGCTTCAAAACGGTGGATGACTTCATCCGTGAAGGCGAAAAGCTCGACCGCTTGCCGCCGTTGAACTGGGGGTCCGGAGAAGGCGCTAAACGGTGTGCGTTCCTCTGTTACTCCAGTGGGACATCGGGTTTGCCTGTAAGGAACATTCTCAGACCGACGCACGAGACTATACTAACCATATACAGAAAGGAGTCATGATCTCGCACCGAAATGTCATTGCCAACATCAGTAAGGCTTGCTGAATACGTTCGGAGACGTAATTTTCTGACATGGTCTAGTGCAAATTTCGACGTTTGAAAAACCGTATCGCGACAACATTATCAAAGACGTACGGAACCAATCCGACTACACTGAAAAGGTTCTAGGTCTGTTGCCCATGTCGCATATCTACGGGCTGGTTGTCATCAGCCATACTAGTGTTTATCGTGGTGACGGTGTCGTGGTTCTGCCCAAGTTCGAATTCGCGACGACTCTGCAAGCGATACAGGACTACAAGATCAACACGCTATTCCTAGTTCCCCCGATCATCATTCTAATCACGAAGAGTAAGGCGCTTCTTGACAAGTATGACCTCAGCTCCGTGACGGCACTGTTTACCGGCGCAGCACCTCTAGGGCAAGAAACAGCCGAAGACGTGCAGAAGATATTTTCCTCATGGAAGATTCGGCAAGGGTATGGCCTGACAGAGACTTGTACTGTTGTGTCTACAACCTCGCCCGATGACATTTGGTACGGCTCCTGTGGCTCTCTGCTTCCAGGCATAGAATGTAAGATTGTGACTCTCGAGGGGACCGAGGTCACTGAGTACGACCAACCTGGCGAGCTTTTGGTCAAATCGCCGGCTGTTGTGCTAGGGTATCTCAACAATGATAAAGCCAATAAGGAGACCTTTCAGGATGGCTACATGCATACTGGGGATGAAGCTGTTATCAGGAAGGCACCGTCTGGCCATGAACATGTGTTCATTGTTGACCGCATCAAAGAGCTCATTAAAGTTCAGGTACGTCGTTGCGCAGCGCCTAGAAATTTTTCCTAATCACCGTATAGGGACACCAAGTCGCACCTGCAGAGCTTGAGGCGCATTTGTTGACCCATCCCGCTGTGAATGACTGTGCAGTGATCCAGATTCCCAACGAAAAGACTGGAGAAGTGCCAAAGGCCTTTGTCGTCAAAGCACCCTCAGTCGGCATGGAGACGAACGACCGCATTCTTGCGCGTGAAATCCAGAAGCACGTCGAAAAGCACAAGGCGAGGTACAAGTGGATCAGCGGCGGAATTGAATTCGTCGATGTGATTCCGAAATCTCCATCAGGAAAGATATTACGACGACTGTTGAGAGACCAGGAGAAGGAGAAGAGAAGGAAAGCCGGAAGCAAGTTGTAGAAGACACCTGCCGGCATACTTTGTACCTACCGACCAGTTTTTTACCACACTGCTCTCTGTAAGTAGGGATGCGGTTGTACTTTTTGTTACTTGCACTGCTAAAAACTTCAACACAGTGGATTGAGCCTGTACACAGCACGATTCTTACAATTGAAGTGTTACTCAGACCACAACCAAATTACAACTGTCCTTTTTAGCGTGCTCGATATGCGAAGCGAGAATTCTGACATGAGTGGGTCCATTTCGCCATCCCCATAGCAAGACTGAACCTGAACCGGCCCAAGGAACGTTGATGCATGTGAATGAAGTGGAAAGATTCAGTCGAGACAAATACGCATGGCACGGCATTTTCTCTTCATGTACAGTGGAAACATGGCTCGGTGGTGTAGTTGGTTATCACGTCAGTCTAACAATCGTTAGATGCACTGAAGGTCCCGAGTTCAAACCTCGGCTGAGTCAGCGTGCATATCCCTTGTCTTCTCTCTCCTGAGAAGATCAAGGGATTTCTTTTTTTGCCTGGATGCACCTCTCGTGGTGTTACAGTGGGGCTAACGTTGCAGTGTTCCTGACCAGCGGCATCTAGACCTAACCGTACCATAGGAGCCCAACACAGCAACGAAGACTGGTTCAGGGTCACGCATCGCTTTTTTTTGTCCAAGTCCGTTCCGCTACTGTTCTCTGAATAGAAGGAGGGACGGAGCCTGGGTTCCTTCCATAAAAAGCAATATCAGGCTCGGTGGTGTAGTTGGTTATCACGTCAGTCTAACAGATTGTTAGGCCACTGAAGGTCCCGAGTTCAAACCTCGGCTGAGTCATTTGTAACAGCTACTACATCAGTAGTAGATGATTTCTTTTTTTTCGTTCCTGCAGCATACGCCGCGTGGGGTGGTAGTCGATTAGTGTTTGAGCGGGAAGAATTTTTTTTCCTGGGCTACGTGGAGACGGCAATACCTCGGCGCACGTGGGAAGCTAGGAAGTATGCGAACGTAGATGGACAAAAGAGAAAAAAAAAAGCAATAGCAATAGAACCAGAGCATGCAGACAAAGCAACTTGTAGTCTTAGTTATCAGGTACATATACAATGTAACACTTGCCTTTACTTTTTTTTCCCCTTGGGCATCAAGCATCAAGCAAGGGCACTTGTCCCTCCCGAAACAAGAAATGTAGTCTCGCAATGTTCATGATGGTGCATCGGCCAAATCCGACCAACCAACCAACCACATCCTTACTTTACTTGTATCTACTCCACTCCACCCCACCCCACTCCGCCAACCAAAAAAAATTGATTTCCGCACACAATGGCAACTTCCCCCCCCCCCCAACTGCCATACCTCTCGCAACACACACACACTAGCAAAAAGAATAAGGTCTTGCCCGGAATCGAACCGGGGTTGCCGGAAGGCTTCTGAGTTTTTTTTTTGTCTTTTGGACCAATCAGAATCCGGAGTGATAACCGCTACACTACAAAACCACGTGCTGTGATTGGGCCTTTTTTTGCGAAGAAATTGGGGGGGGGCCGAGTAATTGATGGGAGCTGGGGAAAATAAGAGGGAATATATTTCGCTGGGTTTTGCATGTATACATGTTCTTTGTGTTTTTGTCTTGTAGTATGTAGTAGGCGAGAAAGAAAAAAGATGGAGCTGGGTGGATTGCAAAGGTGGATAGCTGTGTCAATGTGGATACAGATGTGGATGCAGATGCGGATGTGTGGGTAGGTAGGTAGGTAAGTGGAGAATTACCAGCGGAAACCACTGTCGTCGTCGTCGTCGTGTATCGGGG